GATCAGCATAGAGACCAGAGAATTATCCACTCCTTCTGGTATAATATGATTATCATGACAGTAAAAACAAGATAAAATGCAGAAGTGTGTGGTGGAAAATAGAGACTAAGAACAAGGATTTGTCTAAGCCAGAAAGTAGCTTCAGAAGTAAAAGGACACAAGTTTATCTTCAGAAATAGAATAACAGATAGACAAATATACAGTCTGAGCACAGGGTGACCATCAGTCACCAGAAACATATAACTGTTCAAAAACCAATGAAAACACTCTACACTGCCTGATGAGTGATAATTTGGGGCATCCCAAGCACGTGTAAGGCTGGGTGGGGAATGGATGGACAGCAGCCCCTCGGAGGAGGCCTTGGGGGTGTTGTTTGATGAGAAGCTCAGCACGGCCCACCCGTGTGTGCTGGCACTGGGAACCACCCCCTGTGTCCTGAGCTCATCCCCCAGCAGGGGAGGGGGGGATTCTGCCCCTCCTCCCTGCTCAGGTGAGACCCCACCTGCAGAGCTGCTCCAGCCCTGGGGTCCCAGCACAGGACATGGAGCTGGAGGAGCCAGTCCAGAGGAGGCCGTGGAGCTGCTGCGGGGCTGGAGCCCCTCTGGAGCCAGGCTGGGAGAGCTGGGGGTGCTCCCCTGGAGAGGAGAAGGCTCCAGGGAGAGCTCAGAGCCCCTGGCAGGGCCTAAGGGGGGGACTTTGGACAGGGAATGGAGGGACAGCACACAGGGGACGGCTTCCACTGCCAGAGGGCAGGGACAGATGGGATTTTGGGAAGGAATTGTTCCGTGGGAGGGTGGGCAGGGGCTGGCACAAGGGAGCTGTGGCTGCCCCTGGGGATCCCTGGCAGTGTCCAAGGCCAGGCTGGACAGGGCTTGGAGCAGCCTGGGACAGTGGAAGGTGTCCCTGCCCATGGCAGGGGGTGGAGTGAGATAATCTTTAAGGTCCCTTTTAACCCAAACCATTCCGGGATTCTGTGTGTGTGTAGAGAAGTGTCAGTGCTGTTGTGAAAGGTGTTCATGAAAATGAATAGTCTGTGTTACTTGTACTTGATGAAGCTTACCTTTACTTTAAAAAGGGAATATTTTTTATAAATTAAGGGAAGCAATAAGAAAAATTAGAATGGAAATTAAAGAATGTGATGAAAAATTATATGGAGATCAAGGTGTCAGAATAAGAATGTCTTCCTGGTAGATATAAATGTTACAATCCTGTCTTCCTCTGATTTCTGCAAGTAAATTACACTTCCAATATCTCTGTTCTCACTCTGAAAATGTAGGAATAATCTTATGAAATAACTGTTCCATTGTTGCTCACTAATTAATACTAGTTTTCTTATTTAATTCAGTGTCATTTGAATGAATTTTTCATATTATAAAATCTGAAGTTCTCTCTGATAGAATATTTATGGCCTTGTTCTCAAAAATTAAATTTTTATACAATTTCCAAATTGCACTGTATTCCATGTAGACTTTGTTCCCGAGTAAGTAACCAAGGGAAACAAAACAAGCCAGTATCACCTAATTCTGTGTGGAACTGTATTTGAACAAGAAAAGGTGCACAGGGCCACGGTGAAGTTGGGCAAATGCTTTAATCCAAGTGGAATGCTTTATGCAGTCAAAGCAGGAACGTTTCTAATCAGAAATCTTCCAGAAAACACAGAGCAATTTCTTAATTCAGTAAAGGTCTGTAATCATCCAGTCTGAACCACAAGCTTTTTGAGCTGTGTTGTGCACAATTGGAAATTTAACAGGAAGAATGCTCTAAGAGCACCCTGACTTTGCTGCATGTCATTTCCAGATCACTCCTGAAATACACTTTAAAATTAGCAGCATCAGTTGATATCTGCATTTCTGACTCACGGTGGTTTAAGCAATAGGTTGAACTGTTAAATGTAGAAAACTGGTATTTGAGTTCTCTTAGAGTGCCTGGGGTTTGCAGTTTGTCACTCCTTTTATCAGTTCTCTACTTTGACTTCTTTGAGTTCCTTGGGCTCGCTGTTAGAGAAGGAAAGCTCTGGTGTGGTGTATCCTCCCCTTTTCTCTCTGATCTGAAGAATTTCTTTAATGCTGCTGCTGATGCTCATGTTCTCCTTGCCAGCCAGCTCTGTTCATTCTCTGGAAGACTTCACATCCCCCTGGGAGCTTTGGCAATTCAGGAGGCAGTCAGAGCATCCTGTGTTGTTGGTGGTGTTGACCATCACAACCAGTGCATTTGCAGTGTTATTTTCAGGTCACTTGCAGGATGCTGCCCTGGGGAGGCACTGGGGACTGTGAGGCTCCATCTGGAAGCTGCAGAAGACACTGCTTGTTTCTCATTTTCCAGCACCAGCACTCGTGCTGGAGCCAAGTTGTGATAGGAGAGGGCTGGCCTTGGGCAGTGCTAGGGGCTCTGTGTGTTCTGTAGAGAGGACATTCTGCTGACCTCAAGTAATTCTTTATCCTTCAGAACAGTGTAGGAAAATTAGTTTAGTGGATATTTTAGCACATTAGTTAGTGGAAAAGGACATTTTTAACATTGGACATAAGATAGGAAAAAACTGCTCTCCTGTAACAGCATAAGGCCAGCTTTCTAACAAACTTTCTTCTAGGAGATTTTTGCAAGAGATTTCACATTTTACTCCTTGATCCATGAGGTGATGGGGCACAGCATGTGAAGGGTGACTGATACTTCCAAATCCATGCATTACTTCTGGTCTTTGGTGACTCTGGAGCTAATTAGTTTTGAATATAACACTGAAAAATTGTTCTACTTTTTTCATTAAAAGGCTCTTCAGGTATCTGACTTGGGCAGCCTCAACTGTGACATTGACTTAAAATATTCCAAAGGAGTTTTCTGTCAGAAATTACTTCTGTCAGTTTGTTTTCATGGTATCATAATCAGTATTTCCAGCCTTCAGTGTTTTGCAGGAATAGGTAGATGGGGGAAATACTGCCTACAAAGGATTCTCAGTCCAGAAGAAGCCAGAGAATAGGTAGGTTTTTCAAGCACTTTAATTCATAGCTGAAGGCACTGCCTTGTAATACTGCTGGGCTTGGTTTATCTGTTGAAAATAAAGTTGAGGGTAAAGGCAGAGTAAAAATACGAGCAAGGGTGAAACTAAAATAGAGGGGGCAGTGAAAAAGCAGAGCTGGTATGCAGCAAAATCTGACCATCAGACAGAATTCAACTGTGCTGGGGCTCTCCTGTGACCTGACAGGTACAGGGAGGAAGTTAGGACAGGCTGACCATTGAGAATCCAGGAAAAGATCACTGAAAGGAAAAGCAGAAGCCAGACTGAGTTAAAAGTAAACTTGTAGAATGAATTTGTTGTGAGGTTTACCTGTTTAGAAAGAAAAGAAATAATTGGGGAAGTAGCTGTTGTTTGATCAGAGTAAGGCTGGTGTGTGAAAATCACCGAAAGCTGTGGTGCAGAGTAACCAGAACTTGACAATTTCAGAGAAATGGGGGAAAACAAGTTTTCTAGTGCTCAGAGGCAGAAAGAGGCAATACTGAGAAGTGGACAGGAATCCAGGAAAGGAAGCTGTGTTTCAGTGCAAACTGAACACACTGAGATCTGCAGGGAGCACAGGAGGAGACAGCAGTGCTCAGCTGTAGCCTGGCTGTGACTTGCTCAAGCACTGCCTAAGAGGAGGAGGAGCTTCCCCGGCTGTGCTGGAGCGACTTCAGCTCCTCACATGGACTGTCCCCCACATTTGGAAGCTTTTCTGCTTGGTGGTCTGTCCCCCACATCACCATAATCCCATTTCACCCTTCAGCAGATTGGGCTGGAGTTTGGCATCCTCTGCTTTTGCTGCTGCTGTTTGTTCATCCAGAACAGTAAGAGTCAATATTAACCATATACTTGTTGGAGTGGTATGTCCACAGTCTTTGAGAAGGGCCTGACAAGAAAACTTATGAAAGTCTCAAGTGGTCAATTCAGAAAGGTCCAGAGAGATCTGGGCAGGCTGGTATAATGGATTGGAAACAAGAAAGGAAAATGCTTGGGAAAGAAATGAAGTAGAGTAACAGGAGACTGTGTTCTTAAATGAAATCATTGAGGGGAGCTGACCTTGCAACACAGAATAAACCAGTAAATGTAAGGCACACCCCAGAAAAGTGAACATCTATATTTAACCCCTTCAAACAACTTCAGCTACCAGTGACCTTTGTTTCTTCAGCCACCCTGGGAGCATCACTGCCCATTGTCACTGTTCCTGGGCTGGCTCCATGCACTGAGCAGAATGGGAACGTGATCTCTGCAGAGTTCCTCAGCAGGGCAGTGGTGCAGCCAAGAACTAGGTCACTGCTGCTGCCTGGTCCAGCCTTAGAGACAAGCAGCAGAGATGCTATGTGTGCATCTAGAGATGCAGATTCTGAGATAGCTGAGCAGGAAAAGCTCCTTTGCTGTGAGAGCTGAAGGATCCTGTGTGGTGCAGGGCAAGGTGTTGGTACCAGAGCAGTGTCCTGGCTTTGAGCTTGATCAATGCCCAATTTGTGAGTTCAGCCCTATGCTGGCCTTGTCTTGCTGTGATCTGCTGAGTCCCTGCTCCCTTTGCCCAGTGGGAATAAGGCTGCTGGCAGGTGAATCTGCTCCACAGGAGGTGAGCAGGAGCAGCAGGGTGGGGGAGCTGGCTGCTGTTTGTGTGCACTGTGCTGCTGAAGGGCAGGGTCCCCCCAGGACTGCAGACTGTTCTGTGTCACCTATGTTGGCAGGGAGGTGTGGAGGAACACTGGCTATTGGCCAGCACCTGTGTAATATTCCAGGTGTGTGCAGAGCCCCTTGGAGATTTTTGCCATCAGCAGCCTAGAGAGGAAAGGCAGTAGAAGTTTCTGTTCCTCTCAGCAGCCAAGAGTAGAGATGTGCTATTTTGAGGGTGACATGAGAAAACAGAGCTCTTCAGAAAACAGTCCCACCCTATCCCATCTCTAGTTGTTGGTCTCTTCCTGCCTCATACCATGTGCTCTCAGGTCTTGCTGTTTGTTGTATAAATCAGATGGTTTTCACCTGGAAAGGTAAAGATTGAGATGCTTCGTGTCCTGTTACCTTCACTCTTACCATAAAAAAACTCTTGGTTTATGTGTTGTCAGAAGGAATCTGCAGGGAGGAAAAGAAAATTATGGGATTTTTCATATTTTCCCCAAAATACTTCTGCTTACATTTGTGTAGGTTTGGTCTGTAGCTTGAGCAGCTCTAATACTAATAACATTTTTATTACATGTTTTGATGCTATATTTTTCCTTTCTTTATCTTCCAGGGCGGGGAAACCACCACCTGGCTTACACCTGGATGTAGTCAAAGGAGACAAACTCATTGAGGTATGGAAGTAGGGTTTGATGGATTTGGTGTATCATTTGCATTGGCACCAGCAGCAGAACATTCCCCACCATTTTCCACACTTATTCATAAGTATTTCATTTCTCTCATGTATTCATTATCTTCAGATCAGTTTGTTTTGCTCTGAAACAAAGAATGAAGTGACTTTTCCCTTGCCTGTGCAAGGCAGCCTTGTGGCATGCAGGGCTTCCATCAGTTAAACCTCTTCCCTTTGTACTGCTTGTTTGGGAAACATGTCTGGTCAGTTTATTTTTTTATTTTGTATTACAGTCAGATGAACCAGCATCCTGTGTTTTGCAAGAGTGCTGCTCTGTCCTGCAGTATGAAATACAATCTGATTTGATTTTTCCTCCCACATTCAGGATCTGTGAACAGTGTTGTGATCATCACAGATACAGCAAGTTATTTTTATTACAGCACCACCTCAATCTCTATTTCATATTTTGTAAGTCTCTTTACCGTTGTTGACAGAGAGAACCCAAACCAGTGAATGTATTTCAGCTGTGGAGAGACTCCTAACTTGAAGCTGACTGAAAGAGAAATGTTTCTGGGTGTACTGGTTTGACACTGACCAAATGCCAGGCACCCACAAGTCATTCACTTATCCTCTCCTGCTACAGCTGGGCAGAGGAGAGGGAAAAAATTAATGAAGGGCTCATGAGTTGAGATAAAGATTGGGAGGAGAAAAACATTCTAAGGGCAAAACAGGTACAAATTTAAAGGTATAAAGTAAATTTATTACTAAAGAGTTGGAGAATAACAAGAAGTAAAATAAGCCTTTCAACACCGTTTTTTTTTCCCCCTAGCCTCTCCTCTTTCCCACCAGCAGCACAGGGAGACAGGGCGTGGGGGTTTTGGTCAGTTCATCACTTGAGAACTTTTTCTGTTCACTCAGGGAGAGGACTCTGTTCTCTTCTGTGCCATGGGGTCCCTCCCACACAGCACAGATTTCCCAAAGCTGTTGTGGCATGGGTCACTCATCCATGGGGTGCAGTCTTTCAAGGCTAGGCTGCTCTAGTTTGGAAGCAAGGGTCCTCTGTCTCTATTTGGGTCTCCCACTAGATCACAGCTTTCTCTGGCATCCACCTGCTCTGCCATGAGCACTTTTCCCATGGGCTGTGAGTGGATCTCTGCATCCCCTGTGGACTTTATGCATTCCAAGGGGACAGTTTTGTGTCACCATTGTCCTCACCACAGGCTGCAGAGGAATCTCAGCTCCAACACCTGGAACACCTCCTCCCCCTCCTTCTCCATGACCTTGGTGCCACCATGTTGTTTTCTCTCACATGTTCTCACCTCCTCCTCTTCTCTGTCTAAAAGAAAAAACTGCTGCTCATAGGAACCACTGCCAGCAAGTTCAATTTAAAGATAATTTAAAGATGCTTGCAAGATCCCATAGCACCGAGGCCAATAGGTGGCAGAGAGTTTTGCAGTTTTATCTTTTCTGGTAGCCAGCAGTAACCAAGGAAGACTGTTGTTAAATCCTTTAAAAGAAGGATTTACTGAGCACTTGATACTAACCGAGCTATCAGTGGCCCAGCCTCGTGCAGAGGCCTGAGGGTCACCCTGTGATTGCTGGGTCTGCAAAGTGCAACAGCAAAACAAGCCATGCAGTGTTTAAGCTCAGTGTGTGAAGGAAGACACTGGGTTATAGCTCAGAGGCACAGAACATTTTGGAAACGTTATCTTGAATTAAAGGCAATAAAATTATCTTCTCTGTTGATGATTTGTTGCAGTACTTCCATGAATTTGTGTCTTTACAATGTCAGGGCAGTATTGTTTGTGTGTGACAGGTGCAAATGAAAACTTACAGGATGCTTTTGGTTTCAGTTGTGGGCAAGAATGAGAAATGGTTTGATCAGTTTTTATGGTAATTGAAACTGTGAGGTAACTGCTTGCAGAGCTGATCAGTGTTTGTGGAGAAATACATCAGCTTCCACTTGGTATCAGCTGTGTTTATATAGGACTTACTTTCAAATTTGCAATAAAAGGAAAAGTTAATACTCATCTTTTTTTACAGTGTGGAATCATAGAATTAACTAGTGCAAAGGTGTTGAGCGTGGGAAGAGTCAGAATGCTGAACTGAATGAGTAAGGAACTGCAGAATATGGGATATAAATCCAATGCTGGGAAATTAAATCCCCAAAAAACCTAACCAGGGTTCCTCAAAAGCTGTGATATAACCAACAGTTCTGGTGTTCTTGGATCAATAGATAGGTGAAAGAACTCTAATCTTAAGAGAAAATATCAGTAAGACTAATGAAATTATGGTTAAGAAATGCAAAGAAAAGCCTCACAAAGGCACATTAACATGTAGAGCATTCAGGGAGGAAGTGGAGGGGTCTATTTACAGGTGGAATAAAAAATGAAATAAAATTCAAGAAAGGATTGAGGAGACTACATACTAGTTTAAGATCTTCATCTGTGGCTTATACTTTCTGGTTAGCTCTGAAGGTCTTGTGAAAACCAGCGTTTGTGAAGAGACAGAAACTGATGATAAAGTGGCCAGGTGAGAGCAGGACTCAATAAACTCAATATAGAGATTTCTCATGGTTTTAATCTGAATATTCTGAGGCTTTGAAATGCATTGCTCTGCACCAGAAAAATCAATTCAGGGGAGACACCTGCATGACAGCATCTCTCAGTTGGAGGAAAATCACTTGCATTTTGCATTTTTACTTCATTTGTCATTAGACCATGTACTTACAGGTGAATTGCCAATTGAGCTGTCATTGCTGCCTTATTAAATGAAACGTGGATTCACAAAGATTTTTTTTTTTGTGGTTGAAATCTTAAGTATTGGCACTTTTGGGGATTTTCTGCCATCACTGAGGGGATTGATGGAGTTATCATTCTGTTTAGCTGTTTATTTTCACAGAATTGTGTGGAATTTAATAATCTCATAGTGCTGGTTGCAACTGGCCAGAGGTTTAGAAGTTATTTTGTTTAGTCGTGGGTATCAGAACTGATAAATATACACACCTTGATCACCTAAATCCTCTTTTTTTTTAAGATGGCAGGCCAAAATATGTTAGTCAGAAGATTTCTCAAAGCAGTCACTGTCATGAATTAATGCCTTAATTGTATACCTTGGGTTGGGGGGGAAATAAAAATTTAACAGAGTATTACCTAAAGGACCAATCAGTTGTAAAATTGTCATGATGTATACAAGTGTGGAGTCATGTTGTTCAATGAATTCTTTTAAACATACAGAAATAAATGCTTATTACTGAAAACCAGATGATGAGAACTTGCAGCATGGGGGCTGACAGGTATGGAAAATCCAACCTGGAAAATACAGAGCATGTGTGGGGAGAAAAAAAGAAAAAAAAACCAGTGGGGAAGTGCCATGTGACTGTAGCAGTGCTAAAACCATAGTTGATAGGTAGGGGAATAGATGTGATTTGCAAAATGATCTGCAGTACAAACTGAGGTCCATGATGGGATTTTTGTCCTCACAGATAAGACAGTATAAATACTGCATCTTGTTCCAGTCTGTGTCCTTATTTTCTGTATGACTCGGCGGTGCCCCAGAGTGAGTGAGTGGCTGTGGGTGCTGCTTGTATGATCTGACAGCTCAGGAACCCCCCAGCCCTGGGCCTGGCCCCACACACACTGGTTGGAGCTGAGCTGTCACTGGTTTGGAGCTGGCAGAGTGAGGAGCCAACATCTGCTTGGCTGCAATGAATGGTGCAGAGAGGGAGATCCTTGGCATCACCTCCCCAGAGCCTGGAATCTGCTGCTTCCCTGGAGCAGCTGGGATGTGCATCTGGCCAAAGGCACACTGATCCAGCCCACTCAAAAGGGGGAAGATGAACACAGGGGAAAAAAAGGCTTGGCAAGCCAAAAGCTTTTCTCATGGCAGTGGGATCAAGGAGAGGATTGAACGGCTGGAAATGCAGGGGGAGAAAGCCAGGTGCTGAAGCAGGCAGAATGTTAGTTCATCTCAGACCCTGTCATGGAAGCAATGCTCTCCTGAACCTAGATGTGGGTTTTTTTCAATGGAAAATGTATCAGCATTCCCTGGATGATGCTGTTGAAACATGTGGGCTTTGGTAAATGTTTCAAAAAGCAGGAGAAGCCTGTTAACAGATATGTGATGTGCTGCCAACCTTTGCCTTGTGCAGCTGGAACGGGAAATACAGATTAGGTGAAGTTTTTGGGATCCAGTGAGGAAGTTCTGCACATGTCCTGCTCAGTACTGCAGCATTCAGGTGCAAAGAATTCCTTTAACAACATGGTCTGGTAACATAAATACTGCAGGACATTGTCAACATGTCCCTCACTTTATAGAGATGTTTTATGAAACTGATATTAAGAGTTGTAAGATATTTTTTAAAGAAGAGATTAGAACTAGGATCAATAAAGAAGAAATACCTGAAATTAATTGTTTACTTGAATAGACTAATATGAATTCAGATCACACCACTTAGTATAGTTCTGCATCTTTATACCAGAGGTCTGAAATCTCCTGTAGGTCCACTTCTGTACAGAAATGTCATTTTGATGTCCTAAAGCAGACCAGAGATCACCAAGCACAGGTTCCTATCTTAGACAAAGCCTGAGGTCATCCATTGAGGAATGTGTTAAAATCTCTGGGAACAGATGTCAGAGAAAATCTCCTGTATGAGGTAGTCTAATGCTTTGAAGAGTGTCCTTCCCACACTGTCCAGTGTTGGCTGGTAAAGAAGGGAATAACTGGGACTCCCATATTCAGCTGTTCTGACTTTATAAAGAGCAGATTTGAGTTTATGTATTTAACAGTGCCCGACTAAACTGAAATATTGATGAGCTGTGGATGCTTTGTTTTGAATTTGCTCTATTTATTCACATTCTTGAATTTTTTTCAGGAAGATCCAAAAGATTCTAGGAGTCTAATATGCTTCTCTGTTTGATATTCTACCTCAGAAACTCATCATTGATGAGAAGAAATACTATCTCTTTGGGAGAAATCCTGATCTGTGTGATTTTACCATTGACCACCAGTCTTGCTCTCGGGTCCATGCTGCCTTGGTCTATCACAAACATCTCAAGAGGGTTTTCCTCATAGATCTGAACAGCAGTAAGTAGTGTGGCATTTAACCAGACAGAAGAGCTGTGCTTCAGTGCTTAAAGATTCTTCAATCTTAGACACTTTTTCCTTTTCCATTGTTGTCTGCACTGTGGGCAAATGGATATAATTGGAATTTGCATCATAGGGAAAGACAAGGGTTAGGGCAAAGGAGTGTTTGCTCCAGTCAGCATACAGCTGCCTTACTGGGTGGTTCAAACAATTCTAACTTGTCAGAGGCCAAAGGAAAGGAGGAAAGTGACTTGGCCTTCCTGTCACAATTTTAGTGAAGCCTTGTCTCCTGAGGGTGATCTCCCAAGGTCTAGAACCTGTCAGCTGGGTTTTTGTACTGTCCAGACATAGTACCTTGGGATCTGCAGGAGTACAGAAAGTAAAAGGTGTTTTTATTTATGTCCAGTGTAATTTATTTCCAGGTATAATTTATTTCCAGTGATTTTTTGAGGACTTCTGGTGTGTGTTATCTCAGTTTGTGAGATGATGGGTGTGCATAGCTGATGCTTTCAGCAGTACCTCAGTGCCTTACACCTTGAAACAATTGTTACAGTTTCTGAGATTCTCAGACATGAACTGGAATACCATGAATCCCAAGCTCATCAGAGTATTTTGCATTTTGATGTCCTCAGCACATGGCACTTTCTTGGGTCACATCCGTTTGGAAGCTCACAAACCGCAGCAGATCCCCATTGACTCCACGGTTTCCTTTGGAGCCTCCACCCGTGCGTACACCCTGCGAGAGAAGCCACAGACACTGCCCTCAGCAGTGAAGGGGGATGAGAAGATGGGTGGTGAGGATGAGGAGCTCAAGGGTTTGCTGGGGCTGCCAGAGGAGGAGACAGAACTGGATGTGAGTATGATGGCACACTGCTGGCAAGGACAGCATTCCCTGCTCGTTTGCTTTCTCTTGGAACTCATTTAGGTTGGAAAAGATCTTTGAGATCATCAGGTCCATAAATCTAACACTGCAAGCTGTTATGACCCACTCCTGAAGATGAGGTTAACTCAGCTCCTTTTTAATACATCCCTTGGGGCAGATTGGAGTGAAACAAGGCTGAGTGACCAATGTTTATTTTTTTTTTTATATATAGGTTTTATTTTAGAACCATTAGGTTGCAGTGGAAAGGAGGTAGATAGCCATTTTGGTTGTAATGATGTATAATAATACAGAAAAACAAAAGTATAAAAATACCACTTAAAAAAACAGAACAAAAAGAACAAAAGGAAACTAGTAGAAAGATCTCAGCCCCAGCAACAAGACTTGATGTCCATTGGTTGATGTGATGGTTGCAGTCTTGATCCATGAGGGTGAGAGAAGCCCTCAAACCACAGAGTTTAATGGCTTTAGGTGGAACACTCAGGCACCTCCCCTGCGCAGGGGAAGTTTTATATTGTCTGTTGTAAGACTCTGGATCTCATGCAGTCCTGTGGTGAAAGGCCCAGAAATTAGTCTGGGGGTACTCTGATGGTTTATTACCCTTCCAATACATGACCGTGGCTCTCACATCAGTGCAGTTGAGCCAGTTATGCCCCATCAGAGGGAAGAAAACCTTCAGATCCAGATGGGAATGGGAATGTCCCAGTACCTTCCCCAGAGGAGGAGGGGTCAGAGAGTTGAGGAGTTTGGTTTTACAATGGAGCCCTTGTATAAGGCAGGACATTGCCCTGATAGAAAGTACTACCCCCCCTCGAAGGATCTGCTTCTCATCAGCCCCTTCCCTTAATGTGGTTCAAAACCCAGCTTGTTGCTAAACAAGGGTTGATTTGACATAGTCATCCTCTGGTGCTCACACCCTCTGTGCCAGGGCTGTTCCTTCATGCATGTCAGCAGAGCACCCCGTGTTTGCAAATGGCCAATTGTTTAAACCATTGACATTTCAGTCTGTCACACAGGCCCACAAGACCCTAAACCTTGTCCTTGAGTTCAGTGTCTAAATGTCTTTTATGAATGGTGACTAAACAACTTCCCTGGGTAATACTTCCTTAGGTTCAGGTTTTTGGGATAGTCTGAGGTGTCTCCTACTGTCCAAAGCATCTCATCTGCAATGATTGTCCTGTGATCATGCTGTGAATGCTTCCCTGTTCCCTCAGTTAGCTCATGAAGAGGGAGCAGCAGTGTCTGTGGCATTCACAGACTCTGGATATGGGACAGGACCTCTCAGAATCATCAACCAGCTCAAGCAGGGCCACCTGGAGCAGGCTGCCCAGGATTGTGCTCCATTCTAAATATCTCTGCAGAGACCCTGCAGCCTCTCAGGGCAGCTCATTGCAGCCCTGAACCTCTGCTTGTTCCTCAGGGTCTGGAGTTGAAACTGAACAATGTCCTGGGGTCCTCTAATGAGGACAGTCTTGTGATTAAATTAGACTTCATGCACTAGTTGCTTAAACTCTTTCATTTCTAAATTTGCTATTAGAATCTGACAGAGTTTAATACAGCCCACAACAAAAGGATCTCCACACTGACCATTGAGGAAGGGAACTTGGACATCCAGAGGCCAAAGCGAAAACGGAAGAACTCCAGAGTGACGTTCAGTGATGATGATGAGATCATCAATCCGGGTAAGGAGTTTCCTTTAATCCTCAGCTGATGCCTTCCTTCCAGTGTGTCATAGGGATTCCTCAGGGGTGCATATGGATAAGGAGAAGATAAATTTGGCAGTCAGTATAAGCTGCCACCACATCTCACTGAAGTCTGTGACCTCTTTCTATTTCTTCTGTTCTACCTGTAAAGTAACTGCAAGCTCTGAGCAGGATGGGGATATCAAACTCAGCTTCATTGTTCAGTCCTCTGCCAGATACTGGGGAAATGTCATGGGTCCAAAAGGAGGAAGGTGGTTTACGTTTTTTGCGCTCTTTAGAATCCAAATGGGAACAGAACTTGTCTGCTTTTCACCTGTCCTTTAATGCTTTCTTTACCTGTTGCCTCTGGGATGTGTCGAGCTCAGAGGGTTTTTCTACTTCTCTGCACATCTGAACCAAGTCATCCCTAATCTTCATTTGAAGATGTCTCCAATTCCATATTAGTCTTTTTTTCTCCCTTAGCTATTCTGTATTAATGGCAGTCTTATCAATCATACTTTATTTGGGTAATATTCCTGTTAATAAGAGTATCTAATTAATGAGCAGGTATTTTGAAATACAGTGTGGAGGTGGTTCCTTTGGCACCCAGAGTGACCATTTTGGTTTATAATGTCATGCAGTCAGTGCTCAGAACATCCTAATGCAAACACCAGTCATTCTCATCACAAAAAAAAAAGAAGATAATTTTTCTAGACTTTCAGAGACTGACTGCTGCTGCCTCCTGCTTCAAGGCCCCCCTAAGCACTTTAGGGACTGGTGCTGTGCCTTCAGCACATGCAGTGCCTTGTCAGCAGCAGCTTTCAGCCCAAACTCCAGCCTGTCTGATCCCAAACCACTCATCCAGCTGCTGCTCCCACTCTCCATCTGAGGGAAAGCCAGGATGCCTGCTGAGCCACCTGGAGACAAAGCCACTGGATGTTCCTCCCTTTATTTGGTCACACTTGTGCTTACTGGGAGCTGCTGGAGTGCTGGCTTTGGGAGGACATGGTCTGTTCCAGTTTTTCAGTGGATTCCTTCACCCCACAGAGGTTCTGTTTTTCCCATGTGCCCACTGAAAGCATCACTGGTTGTGTTCACTGTTCTTGTTTTGCAGAGGACGTGGACCCGTCTGTGGGGCGCTTCCGGAACATGGTACAGACAGCAGTGGTCCCTGTTAAGGTACAGGATTCTCTCATTAGCACATTACACTGATGAACTCACTTTATGATTTATGAATTGCACCTTAGAAACAGTGCTCCCACATGGAAACTGTTTCATTGTTAAGCAGAAGTTATGTCTGTGTTTCACAGTTGTCTTTTTTAGCAAATTTGACCATTTCCCTTCGAACCAGCTTTAGCTTTTTTCTTTAATAACACATGGGATCAATGATTTTTTTTCCTCCCAAAACCAAACACTTTCTAGAAATTCAGTGCATTAGTTCCAGGCATCAGATAAATCTGTGGGAAATGTGGGAAATAGAACAGGAAAATGAGAGTTTATTTAAATACTGTGTTTGACATTTCATAAGTTTGTGTACTAGTACGAGCAAGTTTAGGCTTTGCTCTTAAGATGAGTGTGTTGCCAGTTGGAATATGCAAGGAGGAAGAAAGATCTGCAGAACTTCAGAGCAGCTAAGCCACTGTGTAACAGCAATTTCACTTGTTGCTGGTATAGACTAAATAACATCATGTGGAGAAGGAGAATATTCCATAAACCCAGACTGCAGGAGAAAATTCCAATGATCAGGAGCTAAATTACCCAAACGATCTAGAAATTGCAGTTTCTTTCTGTGGGGAAGGGAAGGTTTGTGTTACAATGCTCTCAGGAACAGGGTGGGACTTGAGGTGTCATGTACAGAGCCAGGAGTTGGACTCAGCCTTGTGGGTCCATTCCAACCCAGGACATTCTGGGACCTGCTTGGTCTTTGTTCAGGACAAGCTCAAGACTGGCAGAGTGTACAGGAGGTGAAGAGGTGCTCAGACTTCATCTAAGTTACACCTGAGTGTCAGCTTTTGTCTCCCTTCCTGCACTGTGCACCTCTAAGAGTTCATTGTTGTGGTTTTCAAGGGAACCCAGAGGAAACCTTGTAGGGCAGAGGTGTGTTGGCACTTTGTATGTGTTAGATTTAGGTGCCTTTTGGGGGAAATGGTCTTGACAGCCGGTTGAAACAGGCTGACGGTTTCCTGCATTGTGAATAATTGTTGAACTCGTGGTGTGTGCAGAAGAAGCGCCTGGAGAACTCGGGCTCGCTGCCCTCGGACGAGTCGGCGTCGCGGCGCATGCAGAGCTTCCCCTACAGCGGAGGATTGTACGGGGGGCTGCCCCCCACCCACAACGAGGCGGGCTCCCAGCCCCACAGCGTCCACGGCACCGCGCTCATCGGGGGGCTGCCCATGCCCTACCCCAACCTCGCCCCCGACGTGGACTTGACTCCAGTTGTGCCCTCCACAGTGAACATGAACCCGGCTCCAAACCCCGCCGTCTTCAACCCTGAAGCTGTGAATGAACCCAAGAAGAAGAAATACGCCAAGGAGGCCTGGCCGGGCAAGAAGCCGACCCCATCCCTGCTGATCTGAGCTGGGCTGGGGAGGGCAGGAGTCACCAACTCCAGAAACTTTTCATGTGCGGTATCGTCTTTTTAAAATTTCAGTGTCCTAACAGATGTAATATCAAGATTGGAGGAGTGAAATATCCTTTAAAGATCTGTCTTCAAATGTTTTTATATGTCTGTTAAAAAAAAGAAAAAATACAGCTCCCATCTCCTTTTGAACCAAAACCCCTACAGCCTTTTCTTAGCCACTGTCCCAGAGGTCTTTATGCTGAGTTTGGATCCACAAGTCGAAGGGGCAGTCACACAATTTAATTATCACTTACGGCATGACCCTGCAGGTCCGTGTATTTCAGTGCTGAGCTCGCTGTGGTGACACTGTTCCTGCTGGACATGCTCACAGCAGAGCAGCTCTGTCAAGAGGAAATGTTTGTGGGGCCAAGCCTTGCAGAATCTCGCTGGAAGGAGTTGTAAAACTTCCAGAATATGGGTCAGCTTTTATTTTTTATGTTCTCAAAACCCCACCGATGTGGGACATTCTCTTTTTTTTATTATTATTTTCAGTTTGGCTACAGCTTGTTTTAATTTCCACATAAAACACTAGATCATCCCATGAGTCATGAGTTGAGATGGATAAGCAGCAGGTGGGTTCCTTAGCTTGTTCTGGTGCTGCAGAATGCAGTCTGTGGGATGGAGACAGGGTGCAAAGGATCAGGCATTGTCTGTGCCATGGTGACTCCCCTGGAGAACTCAGGGTGAAGTTAACACAGTGGAGTTTCTTTTAGACTTGGTGGCCCCTGTAACTTAAATAGTTTCATTTTTATTTGCAAATGGAACTTTTAAGTTGAGAGTATATGAGATTCAACAAGACAAAAAGCTGAGAAGACTGGCATGTTCCACACACACAAATATTTTGGCTGCTTGGAACTGCAGGTGAGAATTGAGTGCTACTGAGAGCCAGAACAGGAATTCTCAGTGGACTTGGGTTGTTGCTCAAGCCCTTTAGTTCCTTGGGTTTAGATTTGAAAATGATTCACATACTCAGACATACTGTGGCTGTACTTTATGCAAGGTAAGGCCAGAGCTCTATTGTTCTTCAGTTCACTCTGGATTTTTGTACACACTCTAATGCAGTTCAGCTACAAGTCACATTCCTATGCTCTTTGGGG